GTGCTGACACCTTAGGCCCTTCAGGGACATGGTAATGATGCCAGGCAACCCTTACGGAGAAGGGCATACTTGTGTTGGTCAGGGTAACCTGATGGCGGAGTTTTTAATATAAGTCTGACTACTCAAAGATTATATAAGACCTCTCCTACCCCAACACAATCAACATCCTCTTGAGAGACTTTAATTGAGATAAGCTAGAGCTTAACTATATTAAGTTTTACTGTTTTACTTTTATTCTTTACACCTTGTAAGAGCTGTGTTCGAGAGATTCAAAGTTTAGTGTAGTCGCATCCTTAGGAACCCATCTACCTGAGAGAGCTCCTGTTATGATTATGTATATTGTGAAAGCGTTAAAATGAAGATCATTTGTATTCATATTGGTTTTATAAGACACTGTGGAAAAAGAAAAGCCCCAAGACCCTGTGCGAGTAAGCACACCATAACCCCTACATCTTAGATAATAATAACATGGGTTTTGGGGCTGGATAAACGGTCGTTACACCATTGGAAATCTAGGGTTGACTTGAACCAGGGTGCCGAGTCTTGGCAGCAGCACCTAAGAGATGGCTATGGTATCTGGCATCAAAGTCATTCCTCTGCCAGAGGTCTGCCAGGTAAGGCCACTTCTATAACAGGCTGTAACTCTACCAACATTGACACCGGATAGACGTTAAATACCCTGTTGGAAAGCTGGTATCGTGTAGAATCACAGCGTCGAGTATTGGTGACTGCGGCCATAGAATGGTTGCGGAATCTGGTATCCAGGTCAGTACTCCACCAGAGGTCCGACAGGGTAAGCCCACTTACATACCAGGCATTGACTCTACCACCATTGACACTGAGTAGACGTTGACTTTGCTGTTGGAAAGCTGGCATCGGGTAGAATCAGGGTGCCGAGTATCACCTCCTGTGCCCTTAAGATAGCCAAGAAATCTGATATCAAACTCAGCACTCTGCCAAAGTCAACCTAACTTCTATAATAGGCTGTAACTCACCACATATTGGTGCCGGGTAGGCGTTGAATACACCATTGGAAAGCTGGTGTCGGGTGGAATCAGGGCGTGGAGTATTGGCTGCTCCGCCCATAGGATAGCTGTGGAATCTGGCGTCAAACTTAGCACTCTACCAAAGGTCTGCCAGGGTAAGACCACATCCATAACAGACTGTGACTCCACTGGTAGTACTGCCTGGTAGAGGTTGAATATACCATTGGAAAGCTGGCCTCAGGTAGAATCTGGGTACTGAGTATCGGCTGCTGTGCCCATAGAATGGCCAAAGAATCTGGTGTCAAAGTAAGCACTCTGCTAAAGTAAACATGACATCCATAACAGGCTCTAACTCCTCCACTGTTGGTGCTGGGTAGAGGGTGAATGCACTTCTAGAACGCTGGGGTTGGATAAAATCAGGGTGCTGAGTATTGGCTACAGTGTCCATCGGATAGCTGTAGAATCTGGTGTCAAAGTCAGTACTCTACGATAGTAAACATGACATCCATAATAGGCTTTAACTCCTCCAGTATTGGTACTGGGTACACATTGAATACACCGCTGGAAAGCTTGGGTCAGGTAGAATCAGGGCGCCGTGTATCAGCTACTGTGTCTATAGGATGGCCATTAAATCTGGCATCAAAGTCAGCACTCCACCACAGTAAATATGACATCTATAACAGGCTCTAACTCCCCCAATATTTGTGCTGGGTAGATGTTGAATATACCGCTGGAAAGCTGGGGCTGGGTAGAATCAGGGTGCCAAGTATCGGCTACTGTACCCATAGGATGGCCATGGAATCTGGTGTCCAAGTCAACACTCCGTCAAAGTAAACATGACTTCTATAACAGGCTCTAACACAGCCAATATTGGTGCTGGGTAGACGTTAAATACACCGCTGGAAGGCTGGGGTCGGGTAGAATCAGGGTGTCGAGTATCGGCTACTGTGCCCATTGGATGGCCGTGGAACCTGGGGTCAATGTCAGCACTGCGCCAATGTAAGCATGACTTCCATAACAGACTCTACCTCCCTCTGTATTGGTGCAGGGTAGACGTTAAAGACACTGTTAGAAAGCTGATATCACATAGAACCAGGGTGCCCATATTGGATGCCCCATCTAAAGGTTGCACAAGCAATCATGCATGAAAGCTAACAATTAGGTAGAATCCTGCTACCTGGTACAGCTGCCAGTGGCACCAGTAAAGAAAACAACAAAGTCCGGAATGCAGGCGAGGTGGTATGCAGGACACTAGTAAGGGGGGGAGCTAGTAGTGGGCAGGCTGGTAGGGAGGAGGGCTGATAGGGGGTGGTAAAGGAGGAGCAGCTGGCAACTGGATTTATTACTTGGAATCTCAAGATGGTAACTAGACAGTCTTGCTTACTTAGGATGCAATCTAGATGTGGCATCTTTTAGCATAAGTACTAGGATTCACAGGATGCAATCAGACTTGGCGTCCAAGTACTAGACGTACAGGATGCACTGGACACAGAATGTTATCTGCTTCCATCAGGATGTACTGCGCATGCGTCTGACGTAGGATTTATTTTCGCTAATGTAGCCTTTCAACCTAAACCTAGGCCGATCACTATATAGTCACATTACTGCCAGCACTTAAGTACATCTATTTCTTAAGTTACTTCTGTTCATAGAGATACTCAGACCAACAGATATCCCTCAGACATGGTCTTGCATCCGCCTAGTCAACTATTGACCTCCTGGGCTCATATATGACTCTAGACATAGGTATTATAGCTCGATAACTTAGGATCGTTACTCTCTACTAGGGTAAAGAGCCCTTCTATAACAGGCTTCAGGTCTACCCATATTAGTGCCAGGTAGATATTTAATACACTGTTGGAAAGCTGGCATCAGTAGAATCAGGATACTGTGTATCAGATATAGTACCCAAAGAACTTCATAGGGATTTAGTATTAAAGTCAGTACTATCCTATCATATCTTTGTCACTATAAAGACTACTTCTATAACAGGCTGTAACTTCACTAATATTGCTGGCAAGTAGATGTTCAATATACAGTTGAAAAGCTGGCATTGGAAAGTATAAGAGTACAAAGTCTTGAATGTTGTACCTAAAGGACACCGGTGACATCTGATATCAAAGTTAACTCTCTGCCAGAACTCTGCTGTGGTAAAGATCCTTCTATAACAGACTGAAGCTCTACCAATATTGGTTGCAAGCAGATGTTCAATATACCATTGGAATAGTAGTATCATGTAGAACTAAGAGGGAGAGTATTGGGTACTCTGCCAGAAGGATTCCTATAGAATCTGGTGTCAAAGTTAGTACCTTACTAGGGTCAAGACCTCCAGAACAGGCCGTGACTCTAGCAAAATTAGTGTCAGGTAGATGTTCAATACACCAGTAGAAAGTTGGTATTCTGTAGGACTAGGGGGCTGAGTATCCACCTCTGTACATAAAGAACACCCAAGGAATCTTATATCAAACACAATGCTTATCTAGAACCTTACTAACTTGCAAAGCAGGAGAAAAAAAAGAAAAAAAAAGTCCTAAAAGCAGAAGAGGTGGTAGGAGGAAGCTGGTAGGAGGGCAGGTGGTATGCAGGACACTAGTAGGAGGGAAGCTAAAAGGGGGGACGCTGGTAGAGGAGGAGCCAGTATGAGGTGAGCTAGTAGGTGAGGAGCTGGTAGAGGGAGAGCTGCCAGTAGTAGGGTAGAAGTTGACTGGGGGCTGGTCAGGGAGAAGTAGCTCATAGCTATAATTATTATTCAGAATCTTAGGATGGTAACTACTCAGTATTACTCACTTAGGACACAATCTGGATGTGGTCTTCCTAACTTAAGCTCTAGAATACACAGGATGCAACCAGATCTGGTGCCCAAGTACCAAATGCACAGGACATAACCAGACTTGGTACCCAGTACTGGACTCACAGGATGTACTGGATAGACAATCCTCTTTGCTTGCATCAGGATGCACCACCCATGCCTCTAATGGAGGAATTATTTTTACTGATATATGATTCAGAACTCTGAGTTATGTGAAACCTAATCCTCACTAAGTCTTATTTGTGACAAGCTCTCCCACCCCAACACAACCGCATTTGAAATCTCAACACCATGGGTTTCATCATGAGTTTTTTTTTTTTGGGTTGGCCACCCCCCCTTCCCCCCACTTTTCCCACTTTTCCTACCTCGGTTGGTGCCCCCTTTTGGGCAACCTTCGTGGGATAGGGCGTACTCAGTTTCCCCTCCCCCCTGACTCACTGTTTTTTCCTTTGCGTTGGATTGTTTGGGTATCTGCTGCAGCGTTTGGGAGGTTTGTTGGGGAGTGCCCATGAGCTGGTCTTGAGTCTCGACTTTGCTACGACTTGTGCAGTTGGGCCCATGGCAGAGGGTCTACAGGTGAGGCGGGGTGGAGTTGGCTTATCTCTTAGACATAATACCATTAGGGTGCATATACCTGTCAGGTGGAGTCCTGTGGCTAGTGTGGTAGTTAGCTGTCAAATAAAATACTTTAAACCAATACCTTCCTGTAACCCCAACCAAGTGAAGCCCCAGTCCAATGATATTAAGTTTTACCATTTACTTTATTCTTTTACATCTTCAAGAGCTGTGTGTGCAAAGTTTGAAGTTTGGTGTGGTTGCATCCTTAGGATCCATCTTCCTATGGGAGCCACTTAGGGTGGCTTGTTTTTCCCTAGGCCTGTGATAGAGGTTTCTGACATCATAACATAGCAGTTGTATGCGAGGTCTGTATCATACCTTAAACAGATAAATTCTATGATTTAACAAAAAAAAAATACTTATCAAGCAGGTCAACGCGATCATTTCTATTGTTCCCACTCCCACTCGCACTCGCAACATTCACGCATCTCCGTTGCACAAGCGCTCCCCTAGCCATCAAGGATCCAGCACCACCCCATTACAACGAACTCGGAGGTGCCGACTTCTACAGTTCACCACTGAAGGACGACGGTAGTGACTACCCATGTTAGGCTATCACTTGACCGAGTGGCGGGCGCAGTCGTACAATGGCCGCCCGGGGGTGCCGGTACTTTCACGTACCCCCCCCCCCCGCCCACCCCATCTCCCTGAGAAAAACAGAATAGACCTCCTAGGCGTAGCAGCGCACAACGCCGGCAGCTGTCAAACCGGCATCTCATACGACGCCGGACGCACCTTCAAAGTGTCAAACCATTCATAGGTGACTGTCCCCACGGCGCCGTGGAAAACACCCTCTACACGACCGAGCAAACCTTCGACTTCCCCGTCCCCTCCATCTCCCACCGCGGTAGCGGGCTCTTCGCCTGGACTTGGTTTACGGTAACCGGCTTCCGTCAGACGTACATGAATTGCGCGCACGTCGAGATTGTCGGCGGTGGCGGCGGGGGAGGGTGGCCGACGGGGGCATCAGACATGTTCATTGGGGAAATAAACCAGTGCAAGACTCGAGAATTCGGCAACTTGTACTTCCCCGACCCCGGCAGCGTGGTGCAGTTTGGCGGGAAACGGAATTGGGTCAACGCTGGGCCCATTGTGGTTTGCAGTATTCCGCCCCAAGTGCTGCCAAGTGCCCTAATGCCCAGGCGGAAGGCGAGGATGGCGAGGATGCTCAATAGAGGGGTGGAGTTGGTTAATAGGGCTTTTGGTGGTGGTGTTTGGGATGCCGGGCGGAGGAGGGGTTGTACTAGCATATTGGATCTGATTGAAGGTTTACTAATTGGCGGGCTCTTGTAATACTTATGTTTGTTTAGGAAGCATGTATGTGTGTGCGTGCTGGTAAAAGATGTTATATGTACAGTAACTTAACCTAGTCGGCGCTGGTAGAAGTCCAGTATGCAAAGCTGATCAATCTATTATGATGCAGTGTTCTACTCTACTTGCGCTGCCTAAGGCCCCTGTTACGCTTGCGTTGTTTGGGCTGCGAAGTCTCCGTGTGATACGATATCATACCTCGCTGTGCGTTTCAGCCTTTTCTGTGGGCTCAGGGAGGAGTCTCCCTTGTCACACAGCATCACTCGGTGCGGAAAGTCAGCCGCCGGATAGCAATCCCGTGGCAAGGGCTTGAAAAGAGACTCGATAAATGTGGGTCGTTCAGGAGAGTTTTGACGTCTCCAGCGCCTGAGGGGGTTACCATAGCTTGTAAGTTCTTGGAGAATACAAGGATTGTGGGGCTTATTAGATTTAACGTACCGGTACGGTACTAGCTCTTGAAGTCGTGGTTCGACTGATGTCGCGGCTCGTTTTCGCGACTGCGTCCCTTGTCACACAGACCAGCACATGTGGCTAGTCATGATACGAGTAGTTAAAACTCACTGACACTAAAGTGTGTATCATTCGATTCGCAACGAGGAATACATAAGCCAACACCTTTCCACCGCATTAAGAACTGTTGCTGGTTCCGATTGCCCCAGGCTTGAAGGGAGTAAAGAGAGCAGCAGTAGCAATGATCCAATCATCGGAAACCCTGGATTTCGGACAGAATTTCCCATATTCGACCCAACCTTACTCCCCCACGTTCCCATGGCCCCCCTCTCGAGCTTTCCCAGGAAGGGTATCCTCCAAAGCAACGAGTTCAATCTCGACGTGAACCCCCTTTGGCAATTCCCTAACGGCAACACAGCTTCTGGCGGGCTTGTGCCCGGAAAAGTGCTTCTCATAAACAGAGTTCATGCGGGTGAAGTTGGCCATATCCGAAAGGAAGACGGTGGTTTTGAGTACCTTGTTGAAGGAGGAGTTGGATGCCTTCAGAACAGCGGCGAGATTCACGAAAACAGCCTCCTATGAAACAGTCAGTCGATGCGAGTGGAGAACCGGGGAGGGGAAACTTTTTACAGTGCATTCCTCGATGCTACCCTCAATAACATTTCCGCTATTGTCGGCTGGGATCTGACCGGAGACGAAGACGAGACCATTGGCCTTGATTGCTTGGGACTGGTTTCACCGTTAATTGAGCGCATCAGGCGTGGAGTGGATGGGCTCACGTAGGGCCCCGCAGCTACATTTCGCCGAGAGAAAAGAAAAGGGCAGGGAGCGATCAATCAACCGTTCGGTGGAGGGAGCATTGATGGAAGGGATACTCACGAGGAGCGGCATCACTGGTGAGGACCTATCAAACAAAGAATCCGTTAATGCCCGAGTTTACGAATTGAAGACGAATTCAACAACTCACTGGCTTAGGAATGGCGCTCATTTTTCTGAATTTTTCTGACAATGAGGTTTTTAGCGATAAGTTGTTTTGGAAAGCGATGCGAGAAGAGAAGGGAGGGAAATACAGGGGACATCAACCAGTATTTAAGGGAGATGGAGTTGTACTCGTACAGTACCGCATAACTAGCAGTAGAGTAAGCCGGATGGAGGGGATGACGAAGGTTGAGTGGGTTTCATTTGGAGGGGCAGCATGGCACCAACACCGACCATTCTTGAGCTATGGTGAATGCATTTCTAACGCCGTATGACCGTGTATCCCTAAATCGGTACCAAATGGGGATTCTATAAACACTCGATAGCATCGAAATGTAAAGAGTGCTTGGAGAACCCCTTTTCCGCCGGAATTGGCGGGGGGGGGGAGCGCCATGCGCCAATTCATGGGAGAGCGGGGATCCGAGCGATAAATTTATTGTGGGTGTCGATACGCTTTTGCCGTAGGATGACAGCGATCAATTGTATGGACCTTTTACCGGTAGCAATAACTATAAGCTCAGTGTGCCCGAGTACGGTACTGTACAGTACTATACAGTACTACTGGTATGTCCGCAATAGCATACAGGATAGTTGGCCACGTCTAAGCCTCCCTACATGCAGGCGTCCAAAATAGAGTCAGTTTGGCAGTGATCCATTATCCGTCACTCCACGCCACTGCACTCTGTTGGCACTGGAATGTCGAGGGAGTCAACAGTTATGCCCTACCCACACAGAGTTAATTCTATATGCATCTCGACTGAACCCAACCACAAAATTGCCGCAGACGGTCACTAATAATACAACACGGTACGAATACTGTATAGCTTCAGAAACGCTAGCCAATCTCCATCTGCTCCCATTATAAATTTAATACAGCCCCCCCGGCCATTGGGCTGGGAGTTCTTACCAACTCCTACCAACTCCGACATAATAAAAATAGCGGGAGTAATAATGATAATAACGCAACAGGGGCCGTAGACACCAGATTTGGCCAATGTTCGGTTGTTTTCCCTCCGCTCCAAGCATGTAATGTTCGGAGCTAGAACAAACTTTTATTATGAGGTAATTCTATCCTGCAAACTCCTGCTTGGAGCCGCCTCATCCTTCGCACCCGGCGACCTGCTCCTGGGACGACCCGACCCTCCCCGACCACCCCCACCCCGCCTACCTCCTCCGCCGCCGCGACTGTTGTGGGAAGTGGGTGGTGGGCGAACGAAGGCAAAATCCGAGTATATAGTCTGCTCGAGTAACTTTGTGTTGTTGGTGCCGGCAATCGCTTCGCGAGCTTCGGAAAGTGTGGAGAATTCGATCAAGGCGTATCCCTGGCAATCACATTCCCCTTCATCAATTATTCGGGAGCCGTATAAATCCGGGTCAACACAGGGGTATAAATCATACTTTAACGTAACCAGTTCTTCGATCCAAGTTAAGGTGAAGATTTTGAATGTCGCCAAATTCACCGAAACGATCTTGAAGATCCTCCTCACTCGCTTCCTCGTGGACATTGGTCACAAGAACGATCCAGCCTTCGATTGAGCGGACGGCAAAGGCTCCTGCGGCTGTCTTGGGATTAGAGGACGCTTTGGAGCTTGGCTCATTCTCCTCGACAGGGGGGACTTCATCCAAGTCCATCTCAGCATTGTCCGCCATTGTGTTGTGAAGCAGGTACTGAGGACCAAGGGGGTGACAGTGGTGTATCTGTGAGGGTTGGTGCGAGGTGAGTGGGAAGACTGGAAGGGATGGTTGGTATGTTAAAGTGTTGGTCCTCACGGGGCCTAGAATTTCAGAACATTGAGTTCCATCTGAGTGTTACCCGGCTTTCCAAGCTAGGAACTTGTTGCTAGATACCGGTAGCAGGTATGACAAAGAGATACTCTAGTACAGTACGGTACTTCCAGGGCCTGGCCCCTGTTCCACGACGCATAACAGAACCGCGACGTAATCACCCGTCGTCACTCGCTGGACGATTCTGCGGAAACCTCTCTGTTCCAGTACCCGTTCTCTAACAACACAAAAATATTTTCGCTTTTCTTCTACGTAACTCTTTGGAACCGCCACCCACATTCCTTCTCATCTACCTCATAACCTCTTTTCATCCATCTTCTCCCACTTCTACAACCGCAACTCCCACTTACCCCAAGCTACTGTTATCACCATCATCGCCATCATCATCACTATCAGTGTCACCATCCCCATCTTATCTCCGATATTTTCGGTTTCTCAGGTTTAGCTCCTATACCCGTCCCGTGGCGTTTGTTGCGTTTCTCTCTCTATCTCTCTGACATTGGTCGGCTAAAGCAAATGACCGGTTTAGGAAAGCAATGGCGGATCCGCCCAACATGGGTTGGCGGCGGAATAAAGTGGAGAGGTCTTTATCATTCGAGGACGAAAACAAGTGTTCTGTTCCATCTGGTGGAGTTGTGGCCTTAAAGCAAGAAACAAGTGGCTTGGGCGAGTCAAAATGGGCCCCAACGTGGGCGACTACTTGGGAGGAGGGCCCGGCTGCCTACACGCAATCAGACACTAGGGCTAGTGACCCCTCTGAAAGCGGTGGATCCACCGAGGCCGACCCTATGCTTGTTGTGGATCCGGTTCTTGCTGTGGGATTGAAAGAAAGCCGCGGTGAAGTGAGGGCGGAAGCCGAGCGAGCTGGATACGGGGTGTTGAAGGCTAGCTTTCCGAGGCCTACAGCTGGCCAAAAGAGGGATCAAAGATCGTTTTACACCTCTGTTACATCTGAAGCCTCGAGCTCGAAGAATTTGTGGGGCATGGAAGCTGTAGAGGCGGATTATCCTGCTCCACCATCACAACCACTTGCTACAAACTCACGAGGGATTATCGATGTGGAAATTGATGATGATGGCGATGTGATTATGGCAGATCTCGAAGAATGGCAAGCCATCAGAGAAGTCGCTCATGTAATTGCAGAGGACCGCGCTAGTGAGAGAACTAGCCAGGGAAAGGTAGGTGGATCGCCACACCCCAAGAATTAGCCAATGTCAAAATCCACTAAAAAAAGCTTAGCCGGAAGTTCTTGAACCCGGAGAGCGTGTTGATGATGCTACCCATATTCTCGTGATTGATACAAGTTTCATCCTGGCTCATCTTAGCTTGGTCAATGACCTTGTGCTTTCATACATGGAATGGGGCTGTGTTGTTGTTTTGCCCTGGGCCACAATAAAGGAGCTAGACGGGCTCAAGAAATCAAATAGAGGTATCATCGGTGTTAGCGGCCAAAATGACAGCCACCAGATTGATATATCCATGCTTGCACGGGCTGCAAATCGCTGGGCATTTCAGGTACTGTCGAAGCCGGAGCCAGGAATTTGGGGACAGGCAAGGGAAGAAGTTATTGACGGGACATTCAATCATGGGGACATGGCAATCTTGGACTGTGCTAGGTATTTAGTCTGAGAGGGTAGTCTTTGTGAATTCTTGACTAATAATCATGGCAGATTTTTCTATGATCAAGGGTATGATACCTATCTCTTGACTAATGATTTTAATCTCAGCGTGAGCGCTATAATTTATAGTAAGTGGAGACTCGGCTGTAGCGCGCGAAACCAAGCCCTAATTATTATAGAAATCAAGGCATTTATGTACGAGAAAGGGCAGACTTGCCAGTCCCTATTGAAGAAAATTTATGGGAGATCTCAAAGACCCCGCCATCTCCCGAAACCGAAAGGATTTTTGACCCAAACTACTGAATCTAAGATTGGGAAAGGGCTAGGGAAATGGGTTGAGCCAAGGGTTGAAGTAAAGACGGGGCGAGGGGTTGATCTCGGGCTTGCCCAAGGCGCTAGGGCTAAAGCCATAGCACACATTCTGCCGCCAAATCTGGTCCGGGGCTGTTATATCCCGCCAATGCCCACACGACCCCATGGCAGAAATAGCGCCATTTCAGGCCAGTTGTGCTCTCCGTCTCCTGATACAGTTAGAGCCCGGAAAAGCCTGGTTGGAAATGGAATGGCTGAATCTATCCATGCTCCTCGGGCTAGAGAGGTTAGAGAGACGGGCTGTGCTGGAAGCTACGTACACTCCACCCCGCCAGCAGCCACAGCAGTCATTTCAACCAGGCGTCTTTCCACACTGTTGCTCGAGATACAGGCCGACGCACTCTCAAGCTTTAGAGCAGCCATAAAACATCACATTCTCGACTGCTTCGGCGACGAAGCCGACTACCTCAAGATCTATCCCGAAGATCAGATCCGCAGTCTCTACGATCTCGAGAGCTTCATACTCAAGCACTACTGTACCGTTTTCGCGGATTTCATACCTAAACCTGCCCACAATCAAATTGTGTCTCGCTACTTCTCTGGCATGCTCCACAAACTCGAGAAGTTCTCGCGTGTCCCTGCTCAAGCAAGTTACCGACCCTCGGGTTTGGAGGTCTTGGGTTTCATTGACTCTTTAGATTTACTCTGGCAGATGACAAGTGCCGGGGTTCCCCATCTCACGGGTTGTGATTGGCCGGTTCACGATTGGAGGCGGAGGGCCAACAATGATCTCGGGTAGCCTCCTCCTTTGTTGATTGGGCCCTTCGTATACTTCTCTATGATGGTATGCTGTATGGGTTGGTGCCAGGCTTGAGATGGGGATTATGCGTTTTTCCTTTTTCTTTTCTTCCTAGGATTTCTCGCAGGTTGTTTGACAATGACTAATTTTGTTACTATAAGTATAAGACGTGCTTTTTCTCCTTTCTTTCTTCCTTTTCCACCTTCTTTCTCTTTTTATTATTATTTCTTACTTCAGCTAGGGTAGTGAGTATTAGTTGTTTGGTGTGCTATGTGCGCCAGTGAGTAGGTTCGATATGTGGTAAGCCTTGGGGAATTGGAAAGTGTATTTTATTTCATTTTATCATCTCCCTGTTCCAATTTCCAGTATCGGCGGATTTCCTCCATTAGGATTGGTCAATTTAGGTTACACGTCAGGTAAATGAGTATGAGGGGCAGTGGAGTCGGCATGAGTTGTGGTTTTCTCAAAGAGTTGCCTGAGGTAACGATTGACAGTATAAAAGTACCGGTATGTGGAGGGTGGATACGGTCCTCGTAAGATATCCGGTTTCTCTGATATATTATCCTAGTAATAGCGGGAGGGATTACCTTATAGTTCTTGTCGTCGTTTAGATAAGTTATGAAGGTAAGAGGGTTGTTAGCACTTTCGTGGTGCCGTGCGGGTTGAGCGGGTTGCGATGCTGTACGAATAGATCCAAAGTGCAGTACGAGCACAGTGATCCGAACATATACTGTCCTACCAATCAGGACTGCGGAAAGTTTGATTGCGCGTGATCGTGTAAGGTTATTTCGTTGCACCGGCGCATAAGGGAAGGAGAACGGGGGATCGAGTATACTGTAACTTACATATTGGTTTGACACCGGTGTTGGCGCGTTCGAGTTTCATTTTACGCTTCACTCAAGTCTCATTTCAGGGGAGCAGGGGGGTATAATTTGTTCACTAAACTCGTATTTGTGTGAGCGGGCTCGAGGATTACCTTAGTAACGTATGTATGGAGGTAAAAGTCTTTGCTTCTTTCTTCTTTTGTTTTGCTTTCCCGTTCACGGGAGCGCTATCGATACTCTAATTTTATATCGGTATCCGCTTTGGAGGATCGGACAGACGTGAAGTATGGTCGCTGTGGATGTACTCGAGTACTTGTCCTAGGCAAGAAGTATCTGGAAACAGGGGGGACCTTGCCAGAACGGCAGGGTGGGTAAATTATGCCAAGAGGCCTCGGAATAGTCATACAGATGGAGAAAGTTTAGAGTAAATAAATAATAAAGTTTTTAATATCAGAGAAGTACATGAGAAAAAGAGTCTTAAAATACAGAATTAAAAATAAAAACAAAGTCAGTCTACCACTGAGTATGTCTACTTGGCCATTCCAAAAGTAACCTGAAATGTGGAGCGGCAGCTTGGCGCAAGTTACGGCCAAAAAAAAAAAGCCAACTTGAAGATTTCCGGATATTTGTGGAATCGCCAAGTATGGTTCTGGAAGACTAGACGTAGGACCACTTTCTAATGAAAACTGTGACAGTTTTGGGTGTAATGTTTGTTTCGTAATGCCTGGATTTAAGTTTAGCGTAACCTATTTTCTAGTTGCCAAGAAGAACAAAAACCAATTTGAAAGGGGTTAATTCATAATAATAATAGTATTTTTAATAATTGTTTGTACAGGTTACAAAGCTTAACCAAAAGTATTATGAACAATGTTACATTCAAAACTATCATAGTTTTCATTAGAAAAGTGGTGCTACATCTAGTCTTCCTGAACCATACCAGTAGTACTGTAGTAAGCTAGTAGTAAGCTTGAGTACTGTAAAAACTCAAATAATTGGACCTCAGGCTAAGAGGTTAAAATAAGGTAAGGAAAAACAGAAATTACATAAATCCAGAAATCATGTCCAAATCAGTAGTTTTCATGGATTATCACACAACACTCTAGTCTAAAGTAGGAAAATGTTAGATCATAGAGTTGTTTGATAATCAATAAAAGCTACTGATTTGGACATGATTTTCAGATTTTTACCCAATTTTCTGTTTTTCCTTACCTTATTTTAACCTCTTAGCATGAGGTTCAATTATTCAAGTTTATACAGTAGGGGGTTTTCGGCCACCCCTGGTTTTTGGCCAACATGACAATCACTTCCAACTACTAAATTGATGATCTACAATCCATTATATTACTATTGTAAGATAAATACATGCAAGTAAAGAATCAGTTTGACATTAAATGCTATTGAGAATGGTGTTTCTAAAAGAAAAGCAGCCAGGGAATTCAGAATTTCTTACACAACTAACTAGAGTTGCTATACTGGTTGATCTAGAGTACAAATCAGATACTAACAGGAGCAATACCATTGGCACCAGTAAGAAGCAGTTATCTGTAACTGGGTTCTTGAGCAGAAGGCCTGTAGCTATACTCCATCCTACTGACTTACAAGAGAGATAGCATATTTCATGTTACTACTCTTAAGAAACAAGAAGCTATTAGAAAGGAAATGGGTTTCTAGTTTCATAAAGTGGAATCACTGAATTGCGAGCATTATGGACAAACCTATCAAGTGTAACGGACAGGGTCTGAGGGTCGGGTAGCCCAAGGCACACCACAAGCAGGGCAGGTAGGATTCTGGAGATGAGGTCTGGGTGCAAGGGTACAACTAAAGCGAGTTGTACGAGGTTCAGGGCTCAGGAGTTCAGGGTCAGGGTTCCCGGGTTCAAGAGGACGCCAGATAGTAGAGAGTGTAATTCCTAGGTACAGGTGTCCGAATTCAATCTGAGTTTATTTATACTCGTCGCGCCAATACATGGCTTATGATCGAGCGCCGCCCCGACAGAAGCTTAACGCCGGTCGGGATGCACCGCTGGGACTGGGGCCCTGCTACCCCCGCTAAATACAGGCAACTAAATACAAGATACCAATCCTCCGGTCCCATACCATTAACCACTCCAGTGAGCGAGCACCAACACCAAAGCTAAAGTACAAGTCCATCAACAGTTTAGCACCCATCCGCTCCACATATCCAGGCCACGGAAATCCCAGCACAATCAATAAATCACTACTACTGGCAGCATTGCTCCGATCTCGTGCCTCTTATCCTCATAAAATTCATAACAAAATAAATCCACCATCATCAACCCCACCCGGCATCCAAGAAAGCGTTCCAGCACTGTCCCACAAAGGGGCCATGACAAAGGGGCGGTACAAAGCCAATTTCCTCTAAGCAATCAGTCGAGGCAGGCATAAAGCCCACCCCTTGCACCGTAATAGCCAACCCAAGACACCCCTAGGGCAATATCCTTATAGGTATCCCAACCTATGTCGAGCCAACCATGTCCACCTCTTCATCATGTTCCTCCGAAACCTCAGATTCTTGGGTATCTGGACGGGGGCGAGAAGGGCAGACAGGCGAGTGGGATTCATGCGGGCCATCACAGTTCACACACCTGGGTGTGGTATGGCTGCAGGGACGGCCGCGAAGGCGGCAGGTAGCGGTGGGGCAGGAGTGATCCCCAGTGGAGTGAGGGAGGAGGCACCAGCAGCAGGAAGCAGGTAAGGTGCATTTGATGCTGTGGTGGCCAAACTTGTGACAGTTGGCACACTGGGTATACTTGTTGAAGCGTAAACGGCGCACGGTACGGTAGGTGTTGGAAAAGGCAGAGAGGTGTTTGCCAATAAAAAAAGGAGCCTTGGGTCCTGTGATGGAAATAACAACAGTTGAGGCGAATTTGCCGATGCGTGCTATATCTGAGGAAAGCCACCTAGGTTCGGTAAGAGACAAGCCTGAGTTAAAGGTAGTGAGTTCTTGGGCAAGTGATGCCAGAGGTGTAGAAGTAGCAATGCCATGTACCAGACGCTGGGTGGTGGGAGTATCGAGATGGACAGTAGAGGCACCAGGAATGAGGTGCAAAAAGGTGCCAACTTTGCTGTTGACAGTGGTCGCTCTAACGGTATCCATGGTAGTGAGGGTAACATGTCCATCCCGGAGGGACACAGACTGGATGAGAGTGGAGGCCAGGGCCTGGTTGATGCTGTCGCGAAGCTGTATAGCAGTGGATGTAAGGGGTGCAGCGTCTCTTTTGATGATGAACCGACGCTCGTGCATGGTAAGGCCCTTTTTCTTGTCGGCAGAGGGCTTAACCGAGGGAGAGGGGGGTTTGGCTGGCTTGGGGCCAGGCTTTAGGGGTTTTTGAGAAGGCTTCCTTGCCCTCCTAGTGACGTTAGCCCAAGAAGTAAGAGCTGCCGGCCCAGAAGGGAGGGTATGCGGAAGGGTGGAAGGTGGAGGAGGGGCAGAGTGCTGCTCTGTTGTGTCGGTGGCAGGAGGTGCCGGCGGGGCAGTGGTGTGGGCAGGCTGAGATAGAGTGAAGGCCCGAAGGGCATCCAACTCCTTGGTTAGGGCGGTGATGTGATCGGTTAGCCCATCGGTGGGCCTCCTGTAGTCTTCGTGCAAAATTTGCATCATGTGGATCATGATAGGGAACGCTTTCGCAAACGAATTTGGTGCTGCATGTCCCTGTGACTCAACGAACTCGTCGAACACGCTTATGAAAGTCCCGTTGGGCTTATCTAAGTCATCGCTTGAGTATTGTGGTAGAGAGGTAGTGGTGCCACTGCGTGGGCGTTTAAGCGAGGGCGGGCCCTGAGGCCGAAAGATAGGTGATAGCCGACCCTGCAAAACATTGTCAGGCTGCGTAGGAGGTTGCGGAACGAGAGGGGGTGATGACCCCATGATGGAGATGATGAGGAGAAACTTTGACCCCGGTCGGGCCAAAGAAAGGTATCATGTTGGATAAGATAATTCCCTCGAACGAAAGTAAAGGTGTCCGAATAATGTCTAAGTTCATTTATACTCGTCGCGCCAAAACATGGCTTATGATCGAGCGCCCCCCTGACAGGAGCTTAACGCTGGCCGGGATCCACCGATGGGACTGGGGCCCTGCTACCCCCGCAAAATACAGGCAACTAAATACAAGATACCGATCCTCCGGCCCCATACCGTTAACCACTCCGGTGAGCGAGCACCAACACCAAAGCTAAAGTACAAGCCCATCAATAGTCCAGCACCCACCCGTCCCACCTAGCCAGGCCACGGGAATCCCAGCACAATCAATAAATCACTACCATCGGCAGTCCGATCTCGCGCCAAAAATCCTCATAAAAATCATAACAAAGTAAATCCACCATCATCAACCCCACCCGGCATCCAAGAAAACGTTCCAGCACTGTCCCTCAAAACTGCCATGACAGAGGGGCGGTACAAAGCCAGTCTCCCCTAAGCAATCAGTCGAGGCAGGCATGAAGCCCACCCCTTGCACCGTAATAGCCAACCCAGGACACCCCTAGGGCAATATCCTCATAGGTATCCCAACCTATGCAGAGCCATCCATATCCACCTCTTCCTCATATTCCTCTGAGACCTCAGATTCTTAGGTATCTGGACGGGGGCAAGAAGGGCAGACAGTCGAGTGGGATTGGTGCGGGCCATCACAGTTCACACACCTGGGTGTGGTATGGCTGCAGGGACGGCCATGAAGGCGGCAGGTAGTGGTAGGGCAGGAGTGATCCCCAGTAGAGTGAGGGAGGAGGCACTAGCGGCAGGAGGCGGGTAGGATGCATTTGATGCTATGGTGTTCAAACTTATGACAGTTGGCACACTGGGTGTATTTGTTGAAGCGTAATCGGCGCTCGGTTGGGTATGTATTGGAGAAGGCAGAGAGGCGTTTGCCAACAAAGGAGGGAGCCTTGGGTCCAGTGATGGAAATAACAACAGTTGAGGCAAGTTTGCCGA